AACCGCTAAGCCACAGGGCCGGCCCTGCCATCAACTTTTTAAAAACTCAAAAGATTAAAAAAAAAAAATCATTAAGCAAACTGAAATGCTTTACTAGAAAATATCCAGTTAATGCAAAACAAAGTAGTAAAGGAGGAGTGCAGGAAGACAGACAGACGCGAGACTCACAGACAAGAGAAGTAAAATGGCGAGCATGCATCAGCCCGGTCGATACCAACAGGAAGTGTGATGGATCACAACCCCCCTCAAAGGCAGAGAGCGTCCGAATGGAACACAATCTGTGCTCTCTCTGGAGGAGGCACTCTCTCTGCCTGCACCTGCTCTGCCCTTCAATGGGCCCTCGACTGGGCCAAGTCCCCCCCCCAGGACCCGTGAGTAACTTTTCTATTTCAGTTCCCTTGTGCTCTCTTGTTGAACCAGGGCTCCACTTCAATGTTGATGTAACAAAATCACAACTGGCATCGCAAACAGGATGGACTGAGTTGCACTTGGAGTTGTCCACAAGGAATGCCAAATGGAAACGTGACCACTGTTTCCTCCAGTGCAAACAGGAAATACACCATGGTGTCGGCCGGAGCGAGGTATGTGGCGAGAGACAGGCTTGACACCGGAGACCCTGGCCCCCCATCTCGCCCTGTAATAGCCCTCTCTCTCTGTCACTGCTGAAACCAGCCACCCCTGAACGGAGATTAACAATTGGCTATGGAAACTTAAATGCACAGGGCCCACCATTAAGGCTCCCATTCCAAAAATAAGGGAGACGAGAGATGACATCCAGAAGGCTCAGGGCCCCTAGCCTGCTGTCCTAGATCTAGCCAACGTGTTGCACTCAATCCCAATGACTGAAGACTCAGCCTCAATTTGCTTTTACTTTTCAGGAGGCCCAGGACACCTTTCCTCTGCTGTCCATGGTTATCTAAATAGCCTCCCATCACACACAACCTATGCGGCCAAGATCTAAATTCACTCGACTAGCCCATTGCTGCCGTTCACATTATATAG